TATAATTGGGTTATTATTTATTAAATTGATAATAAAAAAATAATAAATGTGGAATAAGAAATAATACCGAAAAGTTGTGTTTTTTGATCAATATGATTTTTATGTGAGAAAACATAGTTATAGGATTTTGGTAAAACAAAATCATAGTGATATGACCTTTTGTGAAATTTACCCAATATTTCTGCTATAAAACCAACTTTAAGTATTCTTCGTATTTTCTTTTCACTGCTACCAGAGTCAGCTCCAACGTTAGAAGTAGTAAGGCTTGTGCCTTAGGCCCCCAAATTTGGGGGACCCATTTTTTTAAAAATAATAGGTTCATAGGTATTTAAAAAATAATATTTAGAACTTTTAACATAAAAGTAGAATTCTTTACAAAAAAAAAAAAACTTTTTAGATTTATAAATAAAGTAATAATTTGACTTACTTAAAAATGGGTAGATGAATAATTTTTCCAACATTTCAATTTTCCACTTTTTACTACATTAAAAATTTTACTCTATCTTCCTTAATTTGTCCAAGTCAATCTTTCTTTTTCCCAATCTCTTCATATTTCAAAAACCCCTACATATTTTCTATCTTTCTCTTTGATATTTTTACTCACCTTCTTTCTCCAAGATTTCATTAGTTCAAGTGTTTTCCAATAGTTCTATACTTCTATTGCTCTATAAAATCTTATCTAAGATCAACAATATCTCAATAAAAATTAAATGAGTTGGCTATATCATCAATTGAAAAGGAATTATAAGAGAAAATCGATTATAAAAAGATTATTAACAACTTTGTATCTCAAAAAGTTAGAAGAATATACTTTAAATAAAAGCATATTTTATAACTTTCTTTTAAAAATTTAGGCATCATATTAAACTTTGGCTTTAGGCCCTGCATAAGCTTGAGCCACCCTGACTGCTACTAACACAATCAATATGCATGTGCAATTTAACTTGTCTACTCATGGGTAAAAAAAAGTAATATTAACATAATAATTAATTGAAAATCTGAAATCAAACCATAGAAAAGCTATCACGGATTAGAGGGGGAACCGTCCACTGGCTTGTCTCCTGCAAAAATGGAATGAGAGAAACACTCTCATACATATATACATATAATATAATAATAAAGATCTAAACAAAAAAGGAATAGAGAAAGGGTTGTTTTTACCATCTCCTTAGAAAGAGGACCCGCACAGTGCGGGCATCTCATATTACTACTACCACTACCGCTATTATTTTTGTCTCTTCTTTGGTTTGATTCCTTCATCATCATCACTAATTCATCAATTCTACAGAGAATCTCTGCTTTATGCAGTTGGGGCACTGGAGCAACAGGAGTCACCAAATCCTTGCGTTTTGGAGAAGAAGATCACCTAGCTTTTTTTCCCCCAAATTCTCTGGATTCTACGAACTCGTTTAATTTCAAGTATGGGCCTCGGTCCAGTTAAGACCATGAAATTATCTTACCATCTTGCTTCACAACCCTGTAAAGCAACATACCTTAAGTTGCTCCATAATATATAGCCAATGATAGAACGAATGAACGGCCATATCATTTGATACTACTTCTATCAAATTCTGAAATCAAAAAACTACTCGATCCCACGATCTATTTAACTGAGCAACTTCAATACTATAGGTAACTTCATTTGTTGAAATGACATAATTGGCCGAATAAATTAAATAAACCTGAAGGAATTCAACAAGGCAGAGCTTCTGTAACCAGTAAAAATATTCAGAAGAGCAATTGTATTGCTGCAATCCATTAGTATAATTCCACATGAAATTCCAACACTCCAGGTAACTTAGATTTCATTAGATAACCTTATGTATCATGTCATCCTGCAGTGGTTACACTGCATATTCTTTATTTAACCAACGTATTTTCAAAATGCAGGTAGGTTGTCACACCTGCAACATTGAAATGGGACAAAGCCGTTGTCACACCTCCTTTTTACGGGGAAAGGGAGTTTTTCCACTTTAAGTGACATTATTGAAATGAGATTATTTATTTAACTTTTAGAGTCGCCACTTGGAATTGTTTATTACGGTGTTCCAAGTCACCATTTATTTTAAATCTCAATTCAAGGAAAATTGACTCTGTTAAGTCTGCGAAACATAGAAGACCGGGTAAGGAATTATGTTAACCCGGGAAAAGGTGTGAGGCATTCCCGGATTCCGTGGTTTTAGCACGGTCGCTTTACAATTAGACTCGGCTTAATTATCAGATTATTACATGTTTTAGAACCTATGTGCTTTTTACCTTTACCACTTTTAATTATATAATTTAAACAATTATGAAATTTTACCCAAAAAAAAACAATTATGAAATTTATTTAAAGCAAATCACGATGTCGCACACTTGTTGTACACGTTGCAAGACGTACACATGATTTACAACATGTTCATTATTATTATTTATTTGAAGTTGGTTGGTCAAATCGCATAAATGCGCCCTTGAATTTGGATTTACGTATCATAGTTATGCCACGGGAACCGTACCCACAACCACGATTATTAAATTATTGCTGAAGCGCGCCTAAAAGCAACTAACGTGTTTATGAACACTATCTCTTATAAATTCGAGATATTTATTTTTATGTCTATTTCATCCCCCTTTTTTTCGCGACGAGTCTTGAATTAATTTGGATATACCGCAGTCCTTTCTTTCATTTACGTAATAAACTTTGGATATACCGCAGTCTACATCACTCACTAACAATTACTCTATTTCTACTTATATAATTAATCAAGTAGGCCCAAAGTTGCATTCAATCCCAATTCTTCTTGAATCTTATCAACCCTAAACCAATCCAAACATAACCAAGCAGCTCCTAAAATCTAATTAGCTAAACAAACTTACTGCCATACTATAGAAACAAGCTAATACATCACTCTAACAATTGTATCCAGCACACGACTAAACTCAAAGAAGCAAAAGATTAATATGAACTTATCCAAAAGATTTCAATGAAGCTCATAAAGGAAGTACATATCTTCAAGAAAATGGATAAATGAATTAAGACAATGAACAAAGACAAAATAACACCGAAGAGATGGTGTTTCATGGCTGATTTTTGCTGGGTTTGGGGCTGTGTTTTTAAGCCGAGTTTTGGTGAGTTTCAGGACTATTTTGGGGTTGGTTTGGGGTGTTTTGTGGGGCTGTTTTAAGGTGAGTTTACAGCTGGTTTGTGTGGGTTTAAGGTGGAGGATTAAAGCTGTAAAAAGGGACAATTTTCGTGCTCCTCGAGCAGCTACTGCTGCTGCGTTTTTGCTGCTGGAAATTGGTGGTTTTGGGTGACGTTTTCAGCATTTTTTTGGGGCGGTTTGGTGTGAGTTTAGTGACTTTTTCGAGCTGCTTTTAGGGGGATTTCGTGGCTGGAAACTGGTGAGAAGCTGCTCCAAGCACGTGTGATTTTTCACTCCTCAAATAGAATCTCAATTTACCAGAAAAGGAACACCGGACTATTCAAGGCAAATCAGAACTCTGCGCATATTACTTCAAACGTTCAAGACATAAAATCGAGATCTAACAACCAAACTTCGAGATTTTTGCACATAACATTAACTACACCTCAAACTAACAACACTTAATGCTCACAGATTGCTCACACGAGACGCAGCATCGGTTTCCATACTTGTTTTTGTCATTATCACTTAGATCCACAGCATGTTCCACGTATCAGTTAAATCAAACACTTCAATCAAAGTTATAACATTGCACCTATGCTAAAACTAAATTACAACAGATTCAAACAATTGAAGCACATGAACTAGAAGTACATCCAAAATTTCACTACGAATCAGAGAGGAGATACATGATTGAGATATGTATCTGGTCACTTAGGAATCAACCTAAAATTGCCAAATAAAAGCTAGAAAGGAGGAAAAGTTGGAAGTTCAGCTGCAGTTTATTTGCAAAACAGCTTCAATTATTAGTTGAAGTCAACTTGAAAACCCAGGGAAGTGTGAACGAAATCTTCAATGCTCGATTTCACTTCAAGTTCTACTTGAAATCTCTATTTATTTATTTATTTGCGTTTTTTCAGAGCTTTTGTTTTTGTTCTCAGATCTGATCTATGAATTCGAATTCAGCATGTGTGTATGCGCGTCAATGAATGAGAGAGGTGAGAATGAGCGGGTATATGTAGAAATTGGGCTGGGGCGTAGGTTATATGTAGAAATTGGGCCTAGAAAAATCGGCCGAGCTGCTTAATTGAGGCACATAGCAGCCCCTTTCTTTCTTTCTTTCTTTCTTTCTTCAAATGTCTAAATTAAAACACTTTTTGAAATGATCTTCTAATTTCTAAATTAAAACACTTTCATTTAATCACCCTAATTAGAACTAAATTGTAAAATCGAACTATCTATCTATTTTACCTAATGCTTTACTAATTAATCAATTAGCTAATTAATTATACCTAAAGATGTAAAAACAAAACAAAGCAACTAATGCATTTTTTATGATTTTTATGTATTTTAATAATGCAATTAAAGTCTAAAAATGCAATGAATGCAAGATAAAATACTTTTGGTGATTTTTTATGATTTAAGATATTACTAAGTATGCCTGAGTGCAAATAAATGCAAAAAAAATTAGATTAAAAATAATTAAAATTCTATAAAAATAATTAAAACTATTTTTGGACTATTTTAGGAGTCGTTTCATATATGGGAAAAAATTACGTGCTCAGAGACGTAGAAGGTAACTTTCATCCTTTGGCATTCAGCAAAGGTATATATCTTCATTACTTAATTTTTCAACTCAAACAAATCTGGTATTTTTTTATATTACTAAGGGGATCCAACCATGGGTTCGCAGGTTTAGTAGAACTCAGTACTTAACCTAATAAACATAACTGACTTACACACTAAAATATATCACATCATATAAAGAAATTAAATCATAACCCCAACAGGAAAAAATATGTTGCGAGCTCACTAGATAATTTTAGGATATTCGGGTAATAAGCAAGTTTTCTTCCATTCCCAACTTGTTTATGCTGGGAATTAGTTATGCAGAGAATTGAAAAATCACACACCATCTATGCATAGTTTGGAACCAAAAAAAAAACCTCACATGCACAAAGGAGGAAGAACAATAAGCTCTAAAAGCTTGAGAGAAAAAACGAATATCAGCACCTCATCGTAAATTCTAGAAATGCGATGGAAGCTCAAACCAACTCCACAGACAACCTGGAACAAAGAGTATATTCCATCTTTTAGCTATTCTATATTTTCATATTCACTCGGCATCTTTAGAAAATTGAAAGAAATAAGGGGGGAATAGATCTAGGGTTCAGAATTGAACAGGGATCTTTTGGTTAGTGGAATTTTCTGGAGAAACTACACCTATCATCGACAAAAATAGCTCAAAAACACACAAAAAAAAATAAAAAATAAATAAAATAAAAAGCATAAAACTTTTAGCACAAAATAACCGATCAAAATTGAAAAAAATACATCAACAAATTTTAGCTTAAGAATTAAGCAATTACACAATTATAAAACAATAAAAAATAAAATTTGGGCATAAAGAAATCGAATCAATATACCAATTTTAACAACACGAGAGTTGTTCTTGCATTCTTGGCAGCACTTTGGGGAGTTGGGACTAGCACTTATCGACGCTAATGATAACAATACGGGTCAATCTCAGAGAGAGATAGAGAGGAGACGGGAGGAGGGATATTGTAGAGGGAAAAAAATTGTAGCAGAGAGGATAAAGTAAGAAACGCCTAGAACAAAATATTTAACATAGCCAACCCTTTTGTAACGATATTTTTTAGCTTTTATAATAAATGGTTGATATACAAATATAATAATATTTAATATTTAAATATTTTTTAATTATTATTGATAAAAATTATCCAAAAATTAATTATTTTTTCTTTTTAAATGTTATATATACAAAATAAGAAAATTATTCAAATTTAAAATCTCAAAAGATATACATATTTCACTAGTTAAATATTGAGAAAGCTAATATATTATTAATAAATTCATAACTAAATATATAAAAATTTAAACTCTAAGGCATATATTTTAAAGCTACCTAAAAAAATAAATTTTTTCAAGATTTATGGAATAACTTTGTAATTGTAGCTTGTTTTGTTGATTTATTCTCTTAATAGCGATATAACAACTTGAATTGAAAAAGATTCATGTCTAAATTCTCAGCAAAAAGGTATAGCCTTCCCTTGAAGACAATCTAAGAGCTTAACAGTTGAATTTTATATCTAAATATTTTTTGTAATTTGTCCAATGGAAAAGATATCATGTGCAAATCTTCAAATCTTATATCTTATGCAAGATATAAACTTTGTTTAATGGAAAAAATTGTATGCATATTTTTAAAATTATTATTAGTTATTTTAATGATTTTATATGACTGTTATAGAGGAGTAATTTTCCAAAGAGCGTTCTCCTATAAATATGGATATTGTTATAGGTAAAAAGCTATTATAGAGATAAAATATAACTTAAAAAATCGGTTTTGAGGAAAATTTGACTTTTATACTGAATGATTGTTATATATGGATGCTATTATTTTTCTTTTATAATGAATAATTGTTATATAGGATGTTGTTAAGAGAGTTAGACGTTGTATGTAAACGAAGTTGAAAGAAGAAAACGGAGAAAGTGGGTATACGCGTTAGAATGAGGATCAAAAAGGCAGTACACGTGTCATAAAGAGGACTAAATTACTCACTTACCCCTAAAACATTTAGATTTTGAGAATACAACTGACGTTGCTTTTTGTACAACAGGTTAGAGCCATGTTCGTCCCCTCAAACTCTCATCTATCTATATAAATCTATAACGCTGGGACTTGACACGGTGATGTAGCATATTTATATGGCCAAAAAATTTAATTATTTTTTTTGTTAATTTTTTTGGCTTTTATCCTATTTTTTTAATTTATTTGCTATTTCAAAAAATCCATAAGTCACGTCTTCAAAAATCAAAAGTCAAGTTCTTGGCTCTACTTTCTCATCAAGAAAACAGTTACTATGATAGGCCTTAAAATTTCAAATTAAAGAGAAGATATTCAATAAAATATGTAAAGACACGTGCTTTTAATTTCTGACCGTTACATTTCCTACAAAGGTAAATTAAAAAAAAAAAGGCATCCCGGTGCACTAAGCTCCCGCTTTGCGCGGGTCCCCTTCCCCGGACCCCAAGGGTCTATCGTACGCAGTCTTATCCTGCATTTTTGCAAGAGGCTGTTTCCACGACTCGAACCCGTTACCTCCTGATCACATGGCAACAACTTTACCAGTGATGCCAAGGCACCCGTTCTTCCTACAAAGGTAAATGACTACTTTTTCTTTGTTTCTCATTTCTTTTCCTGCAAAGGCTGTTATATTGTGCAGAAAATTCATATAGGAAACTCCAGTTAATAGACATTGAGGTATGGTTGTTTTAGAGATCATTCTTTTGATTCATTAGATTTCTTGATACGTTACTATTAGTTTTGTGTTCTTATTTTATAGCTGATTTTGTATACTTTTGTTTTTGTAAGTATGAATAGTAATTTACATTTGAATACTTTCTCTAATGTTGACTAAGTCTAACTCACTCCCTTTTCATTCTCACTTTTTCCTCTTTGTACTATAGCTAATTTCTTCTGTACTATGATTAATTTGTTTTTCATTTTTCATCATTGATATGTATTTTCTCCTCCTCTTTTTATATTTATTTGATATCTGATTTTGCATACATTTGTTTAATTAAAGGTAATTACATTTGATTCTATATTTATTTTACATTTCATTGCATATTATTATGATGTAATTATCATAAATGGCTAGAAACCGAATGATAAGCATTCAAATTCCAAACAACCCAATTAACCTTTAAATGGCTTTAATAATCGGGGAAACACTGGTACTTTTTATTTTTTTGAATAGAAATAATAATCCCTTAAGAATTTTTTTTTTGGTAAGCTTAGAATTTTAATGTGAGAAAAAGAAACTGCGGAATTTGATCCCAACAATGACATGTTCAATTTGATTTTTTTCTTTATTTTTCTTATATTTAATTATTTTTTTGCTTATTCAAGTTCACATATGCTGATTTAAATGTATTATTTCTTATATATTTTTTGATAACTGTTTCTGGGCCAGCTGAGCGCATAAACGGATTGTTTCATATTTAATCTATATATTTATACTGATGATTTGTTTTTCTAAAACTTTTATATTAGATGTTAGAAAAATCACAAAAAAATGATAGAATCACAAAAAGTTTATTTAGTATAGATTAACTTTTTCAAAATAATTTATGATATTAATATTAAATTATATTTTAATTTTTTATAACCGCATGAAGCGCGGGCTAATACACTAGTTTCTATATAATAGAATATGATTCCGTACTTCTAATTGTAAGTTTTCACCTTTACATTGTGCAATTATCAAGAGAAAAGTACGGAAATTGCCGAAATTTGCTCAAAATAGCCACAAGAATTTACAAAATTTAAATAGCTGCCTGTGATATTTCGATTATGTTAAAAGTCTTATTTGGTCAATCCTGAACTTCCTTCAAGGTTGTCTTTTTTATGTCATTCTTTCTTGTTTATTTTGTTTAATCTCGAAGAACTTCAGAAACTAAAATTGCCCATACTTTAATTTTTACACAAAGATAACATAAATATTGCACGTTCCTCTCTTTCCTTAGCATTGCAAAAGGTAGTTAACAAGGTCATTTTTCTCTTTGCTTGCTTAATCATCTAGTTTGTATTACAAATTTAAACTCTACGACATATTATTGTTTGAGTTTAAGTACTTCAATACACTAATAGTGAAAGTCACCTAAAAATAATTAAAATATATTTTTTTGTAATAGGTATGGTTAGAATTCGTTAAAAATATATAGATGAGGTAATATACAAAATTTGAGGAAGATTAAAGGTGATTTAGACTGGGTTGGAATCAAATTTGCAGTTAAAATCGAGTCCAAAAATTTCTCTGCGACACATGTATCTCACACACATGTATACATGAATACACGTGAGATACATATACATATGAGATACATATGGATACACAAGACGATACACATCTCATCTTCTTGTGTGTTCATCTTTCACTTGGATTTTGGCTCAATTTTCAATTCAAACTACCTCAAATCTCTATCAAATCGTCAAAAAATAAAGATTCAAGATTCAAACTCCTTGAGATGTACCTAATTTATTACAACAACATCCACTTGAAACAACAGAATCACGCTAGCAGTTTTCTACTAAAACCTAACTAATTATAAACATAAAGGAATTGGAAAAATACGCTATTAAATGACTACCAACACCTAACACAATATAAACACAACAGAAATGCAAAAATACGCAAGCAGTTGAATACCAAATTTTTCATAACTTAAATAAGCCAAGCAACACAGTGGAGTTAGCCTTTTTCTCACTAGGTTGTACTCAACTCTTCCTCTTGGAATTTCTCACTCCAATGTTCTATCTAATTTACTTTTAAAAAACAACACATTTAAATTTTTAGTTTTAATATTTATCATTAAAGAAAGATGATGTCATCTGGTGATTTTATTTTGTCTAACTGAAATTGATGTTTAAGAGTTAACAATCAACTTGGTTAGTTTTTATTACTATTAAGATCGACTAGAATGAAACAATACAAATAAGAGCTTAAATGCAACAAAAAATAAAATAAAAAATTAATAAAAAGAAACGATTACACAGTATAGGATTAACATCATTAATTAATATACAAAAAGGAAAACTTACGGTCACTGAAATGCTAAGAATCAATTGGCTAATATTGATAGCATTTGGTTATTATTGGTAATATTTTATAAATTGGCTAATATTGGTAGCATTGTTGGACAAACTTGGTAGTTTCCCAATTATCAATATCTGTTTTCGGGCTTTTCAAATATCATTTTCTCCTAGAAACATTTATTGGGATAAAAAAAAGATACCTAAGAAAACTTCAATTCCTTGTCTATGCATTTCGACTTCATCAACTTTTATCAGGATCCTTATAAAAACATGGTAAAATTCAATCCTAGAATATTCTTGATAGTGTTCGACTGATGGTATATTTTGATCATTAATTACGAGGTATAGTCTATCATTAATACCTTCTTAAGTATAGTTGTTCATTAGCTTCCATTAATTCTTAGATAATAGTTTTGCTTCTTCCTAATTGAAGTTAGTTCTTATGTTTAAATGTTTATTAACTTGTCTCGTGCTATTGTATCATTTGCTCTACTTTTTTATTCATATGATCTAGTGCTTGTTAAGTTTGTGCCATTCTTGCAACACTAATTGATCCTCTTATATTTATGGTCATATTTTGTTTCAATCTAATCTGATTCAGAAAGTTCTTACTAAAATTTATTTCATTAATCAACATCAGTAATTGGTTATGCCACTTGAAAATCACATTTTTAATAAACGCTGAAGTTATATACACTGACCGTTAAAAAAAGTTTACACCGTTAGTCCAATTTAACCAGCTATATTATATTACTATTCTATTTTTCAGGTTACCATATTAGGCTTGTTATTAAAATTTAATTCCAATCTTTTATCGTTCCTCATTTTCTTCCAATATTAAAAGGGTTGAAGAAAAACTGACTCCAAAGAGTTAGATCCCCTACCCTTTATTTCCGTTTTGCTTAACCCTGTTGTTTAAGGAAACATGGCAGCAAGAAAATCCAGAAAAATTCAAATGATAGGAGAGCCGGTCAAATGATTATTTATACTAAGGTACTAACTAACAACAACAACAACAACAACAACAACAACATGATGCCAGTGAAATCCTACAAGAGGAGTCCGGTAAGGATAATATGTACACAGACCTTACTCCTACCTTACGAAGGTAGTAGAGAGACTGAATGTGAATAATATTCATGAGCCAGATACAACATTAATATACGAACCAAGAAGTGGAATGAAGATGAAAGTACAAGCCAAACTATAAGCAAAATATGTGGTGTACCATGCACCAACCAATATAACCAAGTTAAACTGGAAACAAAGTCCTCCACACAACGATTGTAATGGTTTTACAACCAAGTCGAAAATTATAATGATTTTGCCCTCTTCTCCCTCAAAATTAGAACGATAAGTTCAATACCACGAAGAAACTTAAAGCACTCATCGAGTGATTTCACAACTTTTTTGCTGTCTTCTTTTCAAGTTTTGGCATCTGCATGCACACCCAATGCATTCAAGAAACTTCACGTTTTTTTTACTCTTAGTTCACTCTTGTTTAGAGCGGGTTTCTGAAGAATCACCATCTTGGTTTTTCCCTAACTGCTTTATGCTAGCTTTGGCCTCTGCCAGGAATTTAGGATCAGGTTCATGTTTATCTGAGGGTTCTCTCATTGCCAAGCATATATAAAATGCAATAACCACATTGACCGATATGACGGCAACAAATCCACTCACTAATGTCATAGAATGGGGAGACATATCAGTTACACCTGTTCCAGATGGACAATGGTTAATACAGAATCATAATCCCATAAATAACTGATTGCATTCACAGGTCCAACATCGATGGTAAAAGTCCACTATAAAAGCCATCTACAGTTCTACACCCAAAACCATTCAGGAGATGAGTATTACATTAGAGAAACCTTCAAAGGTCTACATATTTAACCCATAAAACATAGACTTAAGTTAATGTTGTGGTTAGTAAAGATAAAACAAATCCTATCATTGACTATACAGGTTTTCAATTACAAGATAGGCTGCCAACGGGAATTGAATTTGTAAATTCAAACAATGCTCAGCAAAATTAACTATATAATGAGGATGAGGAAAAAAAATATGAGAAGGCAAATAAATATGGAAGGACGGAGATTCTGCAGAAGTTTGGAATAAACAGATCACATATTCAACTTTACATTCTAAGATAACAATATTTTATTGTGATTCCCTTAATCCAGCAGCAAAAAGTGTCTTAAAGTCTTAAACCCATCCAAATTTAGAACTTCGCTTCAGAATAATTGCAAAGGGATTTCTAGTAACTTTTAATTAGTATTATCCAGAAGTCCTCCAAACGGTGTAAGGTTCTCTGGTATACAAAGCATGGATATTAAGCTTGCCTTTTCATATCTATCAAGTTGCAAGCTACTGTACCATGCATTTTATTTTATTTTTTTAATATATAAAAATATTAATAGATAGAGCAGGAATCAGCAAGCATTGATTGGGTAATCAACCAGATATGTGTCCTAGAAGCTCAGTACAGCTACACATGGCTGCACCAGGAGACGAACTGGTCACAAATCCGTCATAAGTACCTGCTATAGTTCATCATCTTCCACTCTATCCAAGTTCTGGTCAATTAATATTTTTGAGAAAAAAAATCTAGTGTGCAATTTAAGACAAAATAAGCAAGGGGTACATTTGAGAGTACACTCCTACCAAACCTACACCCCCAGCCAACAAAATAAGAATTCATCTTCTCATTTGAGTATTTGAAAAAGGGCAAAAATACAATTAAAATTTTCTTCACAACTTCCCTATTTAACCATGACCAACCGACATTCTCGAGCAGAGCTTGACATTAAATAATCACATAGCAATCAGCAGTAAAACATGACTATTACCATCCCCCCTTTCTAATATTCCATTAATTCAAATGATAGAACATGTTCTCAGGCCAAAACATAATTGTGTCTGACACCCAGACAAAGCGCGAAGACGGACTTCGCCTTCCGACCCTGAGAATATATTGACCAAGATGGGTGAAGCACTTATATTCAAGCAACAAAGACTCCGAGGCAGCACATAGTTGAGCAATTAGTTGGAAAAAATCTGCCACATTTTTACTTATGGTCCACGAACTAAATACCACTGAGATCAAATGTAAAAGCACAACAAAGAAAAAAAAGGCAAGGTTCTCAAGCATAACAATAAAAAGAAAGGAATAGTCGAAGATTTTGAATAATGAATTAATTAGAAGAAAGTATTCTAGTTATCTAAAACCAATCAATACCTACTTTAGGATGGCCATCAACTGTCATGTGTAATCTTTTATAAAGTAAAATTTGTATCAGGAAAATTAGGGAAAGCTCACCAGGAATTAAGCTGTGGTTAAAGGCGTACAAAATTGCAACGGGAGCTGCCCACATAATCAAAGAAGTGATAAAGAACTTATTCACGACTCCAGCCATAGTGCTACCAGCCTGTGAAATAAAACAGAATACATGAAGTATTACTTGATAAAATCATTTATGGAAGGCCAGGAAAAAGAATTCAATTAAACATGGGGAAAAAGGAAGTTCACAAAATACTTTTGCTTCGAATGGAACAAAAATATCATTGCAGGCTAAAATCTCATCCATAAGATACATATTTTTTCCTATTTTGACTTCTTTGAAGTTTCTTTCTTTGCCACAGCTGATTAAAAAAGTTTCTTCCTTTATCTTGGATCTTAGATCAGAAGTATAGGTTCGAATATATGAATTTCAGCTTAAGAATCCAAAACTAAACAAACCTAGATAATAAATGCAGAGATAAAAAGATAACAAAGCTTGAATTTTTATGATAAATTAGAGTTCAGTTGATAACCCAATTCACAAGTATGTTTCATTGGTAATCTTGCTTAAATGTATGAACTTCATCTCAAGAACAGAAAATCAAAAACCCAGATAATAAATACAGATAATAATGCAAAAAAGATAACAAAGATTGAATTTTTATGGTAAAAATTAGAGTTCAGTTGATAACTCAATTCACAAGTATGTTTCATTGGCAATCTTGCTTAAATGTATGAACTTCATATCAAGAACAGAAAACTCAAAAAACCCAGATAATAAATACAGAGCTAATGCAAAAAGATAACAAAGATTGAACTTTTATGGTAAAAAAGAGTTCAGTTGATAACCCACGTCACATGTATAATTCATTGGCAATCTTGCTTCATTGCATGAATTTCATCTCGAGAACAAAAAACTCAAAACCCATATAAATAAATGCAGATATAATGTAAAAAGATACAAAAGATTGAATTTTTATGACAAAATTACAGGTCAGTTGATTACTCTATAGGCAATTATGTGATTTGGCACTAGAGGGAATAGAGAGAGTGAAAAAGACAACAAAAAAAAAAAAAAAAAAAAAAAAAAAAAAAAAAAAAAAAAAGGTGGGGGTGGGGGGACATACAAGTTGAATCCACAAAGAGAAAGAGCTATGGTAAGAGTTACGGTAGCATAGCAAATCGTTTGATCTGAGGAGAAGTGTCAGCTACAAATCTGAAAGAATCGCCTATTATTTTTAATCTGTTTTTTTTTAAAGAGGGAGGAGCTTTTTGCTATGTTTTTTTAAAGAGGGAGGAGCTTTTTGCTATGTGGGCTTTTAAGATGTGGCTTTGGGGTTGCACTATTACCTTTGGTCTTGCCCTCCACGGCATCCACCAAAAGAATATATATAGTCCCTAAAAGAAAATTAAAAAAAAAATTGCTTAACATAAATGGTACAATAATTTGAGCAATCAAGTATTTCTACCAATCAATTGAAAGACTACATGTTTCTTTGAAATAAATTAATTTATGATTTATTTTATGGCACATAATTACTACTACTATGTGTCACACCTCTTTTTGTGGGGAAAGGAGTTTTTTCATTTTAAGTGACATTATTGAAAAGTGATTATTTTATTTAATTTAAAGAGTCGTCACTTGGAATAATTGTTAAGGTGTTCCAAGTCATCGCTTTATTTTAAAATCTCAATTCAAGGAAAGTTTGACTCTGTTTAAGTCTGCGAAACACAGAAGACCGAGTAAAGAATTCTGTTAACCCGGGAGAAGGTATGAGGCACTCCCGGATTTTGTGGTTTTAGCACGGTCGTTTTACAATTACACCTGGTTTAATTATCTAATTATTACATGTTTTAAAACCTATATGCATTTTTTACCCCTTTTTACCGCTTTTATTGTACATTTTAAGCAATTATGAAATTTATTTAACACAATTTACGATGTCGTACACTTGTCGTTATGTACACAGTGTGAACCGCGTGACATGAAATGCACCCAAATGTTTATTAATTTATTTGAAGTGAAGGGTCAAGCCATGCGAACGTGTGCTTGAGTTTGGAATTACGTGTCGCAATTATGCCATGTGAACCGTACCCATAACTGCGACAATTTAATTATTAAGCGCGCCTAAAGTAATTACACATGTTCATGATTATTTCTAAACTAATTTGAGATTATTGTAAGGTCAAGAGTTATGGAGTGAATTTGTGGAGAAGTGAAGTCAATTAGTTATGAAAGGTAGCTTAGCTTACGGTGGATACTAACTTAGCTCCACTATTTGTTATTGAGTTGTTGGGCCTTTATTATCGAAAGTATTTGGCCCAAATCCCAAATCACATTCTCAATCTTGCAACGGCCATAAGACAAATTACAAAATGAATTTTTCAGCAAAAAAGCACTATTGCACAAATTAAACTAACCAACTTATACCAAATTTTCATTAACATAGCTAAAATGATGTATTAGAGAACTAGCACACTCATCAGGGAAACATAACTTCATTATGCTTCAAGATCCACGACACAAGACTCCTAATCATATACTCCCTCCGTTTCAATTTATGTGAATCTCTTTGACTAGGTACGGAGTTTAAGAAAAGAGAGAAGACTTTTGAACTTGTGGTGTAAAATGAGACACATATATTTTGTGTGGATATAAATCATTGCATAAACGTAAATTGCAAGTAAAGGTGAGAAATGAACCTTCTTTAGAGCCAAAATCCCCTCAATGCCAAAAATCAAAATCGTGCGACAACCTCAACCGGAAACGACGACCGGAGCTTTCGAAAGGCGCCCTCGACCTCAACTCTCGATGCTGCTGTTTTGTGTGGAAAAAAAAGGGGCTGTTTTGAAGTGTTTTTGCTGGGTTTTTGCAGGTGGCAAAAGGCTGGTTTTAGGCCTGTTTTGCAACTGTTTTTCAGCCGGGTTTGGATCGTTTTTTGTGGGGCTGTTTCGGGTCATTTTTGGGGTCGCTTCAGGCTGTTTCGCAGCTAGCTTTGCTGCGTTTTCGTGACTGGCTTCATGGGGGTTGTTTTTGCTGGTGGTTTTGGGGTTGTTTTAAGGTGGAAGAGAGCTGGTCGGAGAGGGTGAAACTCCAGCAAAACGCCGGCGAGGCCGTGAGCTAGCAGGAAACGATTTACATGGCTTTAGGGCTGGTTTCGGGGATTCAACAGTGGTTCTACGGTGAAGCTAAGTGAGGAAGATGAAGCTTTTGAGTGTTAAAATTGTGAGGAAAAAGAAGAAATCTGTTACTTTCTCTAAGCTGTTCAAAGAAAAGGCTAAATAGATAAAGGCCAAGAAGAACAGAGGTGCCGCCAACCTTTTGCTTAGCCTTCTAGGTTTCTTTTTCGATTTTCTCTCTTCAGACTCTATTTTTGCTCTCTGGATCTGTTTCCTCCCTATGGCTATAAACTAGTTGTCACAATATAGCCACTTTAAACTAACAGCCAAATCTAAGCTTATGTTCTTCCATCCTATTTCTCTTGATTCTCATTGGTGCTGACCATTTAATGAGGATTCTTCTCAATGCCAGAAAACATCCAATTAGTCGAATAAGGTTCCTCACACTTGATAAAGTCCAGATTCAATCAACAATCACATAGAGTTGCTCAAAATCTCATGAAATCCAGATTCAATCAACACTCAGCTTTCAATTGAGTTTATTAACATTATATTCATTGTTTGAAATTAAATCTAACAAATAGATTCAGATAATAACAACAGATAAACTAAACAACAACCATGATTCCATATCCATAACAAAACAGATCTGAGAACAATTTTATGAAGAACATACCTAGCTGCACAAGGATCAAATTTAGAAGAGAAGAAAGCCAAATAAAGCTGGAATCAGCAGGTTGGAAGCTTAACAAGCAATCTCCAGCAGAGCAACAGTAGAATTCTAAGTTCAGGAACAAACTTGGAAAAACAAAAACCAGAACAGCAGCAGCTTCGAATAATTTCCCCTTTTTTAAATTTCCTTTTCGATTTCAATTGAGAGTTCTTCACTTTAAATTCTGTTTTTCTCAGATGCTTCAGCGTGTTTTTGAATTCCTAACTGACGGAGGAATGGCTGTGAGGGGTCTGTAAGTTTTTGGACCGGGTCACGGACAGGCTTTGGTCAAACTGGGCTGCCGGATTTTGGGCCCAATTTGCTCTGACAATTAAAAGAGAAATTTACACGGAATACAACTTATTTACAATTTATTTAAATAAGTTACAACACCTTTTAAAAAATGACATACATACAAATTTTTTAAAATCTACGATTTTTTATATCCCTAATATATCTTTATTTAGACTCTCTCGCCTAAAAAGTATCCTAATATATCACTCTTGAGATTCTCTCTCACCTAAAACATGTCTTTTCAATTTTTAAATTTTACAAGATTGCGAAAATCATGTTTGCTTCCCCCCTATATATATATATATATATATATTACGTACATACCTTAAGTATCTCTTTCATGATAATTATGATAAATAAGCGTTAACATTATAGATCTT